TCTTTATGAGGAATAAGCTCTTCGACAAATACCTGGGTAGTCCTGAAGTCATTTTACAAAGATGGCTGTATACTTGGTTAAGTTTGCTTCATGCACTGTATGTAACATGAGTCAAGAGCTGTATTCATGAGCTGCCAGGATTAGATTTAAATTGAAACTGAGGTTAAAAGAGGATTTATGTCTTGGACAGATAAGTGCATTTACCTAATCTCATAGATTAGGCTTGCGTTTAGGTTTGCCAGATCTCAACGCCCCTCTCAGTCCACAATACAACACTGCCCCAGGAGTCATACTCTAAGTAGGAAAGATGTTATAGGGTACTAATTGTCCCTGAATGGGGAGAATTTGTCATCTACAGCACAACTGTAGGGACATATCAATATTGTTGCTTAAGATAGAAAACTTCCCTTAAATGATGTAGAATATAGATAGTGCCTGAATTTTCAAGAGCCATTTGGCAGAATTTTAGATAATCCTAAAATATGTCGCAAAATTTTTCTTCTTGGCTTCTATATAAGATATTTTTAAAAATTGATCCATAAAGGCATCAGTGGCCCTTACATACAATGATTTCACATGACATTGATATTGCATGCATAAATATTATATCCATTTCTAACTAGGTCACAGCTATTAATCTTATTTGTCTTTACCTATTCCTAGCAATGACATGTGAATGCATAAATAATTACTTCTTAAGAACTTCCTAAGTCCATGAATTTTACTTTAAGATACATGGATAATGAGTCTTCCATTCAATTCAAAATGTGAAATTTAAAACATCTTGAATACATACTTTTTCTAGTCAGTCTTAAATATTAAGTTCTACATCAGGCATAGCTTCCAACATTTAAAACAAACAAGTACTTTCTACAGAGCTCTAAAAATGTATTATTGGTTGGCTTTGCCCCAGAAGCAAAGATTGATCAACATATTTAAAGGTTGACAATTCCATTCCATTACCCCCACATCAATTCTTTTCTTTCTTTACAGAGGTTGGTGAGGCTGGCCCTTGGTGCAGACACATGTTTTCAGAGACAGACATACCAGAAAAAACTGTTTTCTCAAACTGTGACACTGGGAAACATAGACCTAGAAAGTATTTGGAGGAAAACTTTTATATTGAATTTAGAGAACTGGGATAACGTTTTTCTCTCTCCCACTAAAAAATAAGTTGTGGATAGTATATTTAGTTTGCATACTCTAATAAAAGTAGTTGATTTATAGTGGTCTATACATTTAGAAAGGTAAATGATTGCTTTCCTTAAGGGTGATGGAAAATAAACATTAAGTAATTTACTCCAGACTATTTTGGTAGTAATTATAACAAAACAAATGTTATTTTTTAGTGATATCAAATTATTGGCTTGTAGACATTATGTAAATATCTTTAAGATAATCTTTACCATCATTCTGAGAAGTCTCTTGCTCCCGGTTCATAGTTTTTCATCAAATAGAGGTAGCATCCTTTAAATGTGAGCTGATAACAGCCTCTATCAGCCTTGCATTTCAGGCCTGAGTGGAATCTGAAGTGTTTATAGATCTGTAGGAATTATTTTGATTTAACTTCATATAACGTATCTTATTACTACTTTAAAATAATTTCTTCTATTTTTTATCTATAATTCATTTAAATCTAGAAGGTAAAGGAAATAGTATTGCAGGTGACTGTTTTACACCAAGCATATCCCTGAAATGATTTTGTAAATACTGTAAGAAATTATCTTATAACCTAACCTTCAATTTTTTTAACTAAATGATTATGGTAGAATAGCTATTACCACAGTACCCAAATATATGGAAACAAATACATTGTCTATTCCTTTATGAGTTTCTTTTCAATTGAGAAACAGAGACATAAGGCAGAGAAAACTGTTATTGATGTTTGCATACTATGATGACAATAGGTAATATGGTGGTTCGTTCATTAGTTGGCACATCTGGTGAATTTTAGGTGCAAGGAAAATGACTGTAACTAAGTAGAAAAAAAATGTCTTTCTGTGATACAGCTAACATTCTACTTCAAATTCAAAAACCATGAAGCATTACTTCACCTGGGATCAACAGAATTCCAATGATAGATAGGGGCATTTCTTTTTGGAACTGATTTAAAGATAATGACAAGCTCTAATTGACTGACAGGGAGACGACTGCTAAGGTTCCTTGAAGCATAACTTATACACTGAAAAGATTGGGTGAGCATTACGTGTAGAGCTGCTTCTCATTCCCTGACCTCTGGAAGTAATGCCTGCTGTGTGTCAGGCAGATTGCCACTCTCTTTTTCTGGAACTAAGTAGTTCAGAAAGCTGTCAGTACTCTGCAGTACCATAAAAGATAAATTCATTTAAAGTTAAACAAGAGAGAATGGTACAGTTTGTCTCACTTGATTTTGTAGTAATGCCTTCAATTCTGCAATGGATGGTAGGTCAGAAGAGATTTTTCTTTCTTAAGTGAAAGACTCTCAAAGATGTTGGACTTGTTATTTTCTTTGCTCACTCTTTCAATTTCAGTGAATTCTAATGTGCTTATCCATCTCCTTTTTTCTTTGTGCAAAGATAGTCTGAGTTTTTATGCACTAGCTTTGGCGAATCATCACAATTTAAGAAGAGACATGCCATCCTAAATTTCCACTAAGTTCTTTGGTACTTGATTTTCAAAATGAACAAAACTCTGTCCTCATGAAATTCTGTGAAAGCAAATACAAAAATTAATCAATATGGAATGCACAGTAAAACAGAACGTGTTCTAACGCAGTGACTTCTGCAGTTGAATGAACCATATCATTATTTGTGAGCAATGATTTAAAATTTATCTTCAGCTCTCATATATTTTCTATAAAAGCTTAACATATATAAATATATGAAACTTCAGAGATTTTTTACTTTGTGAAGGTACTTCTTTTAAACCAATTTGTAAAAGCTTTTGTACATTGTATACAATTAACTATTGCTGTTTTATATTTTTTAATTTAGGCCATTGTGATGGTTCATCAAGTTAGGGCACTTGTTGCTAAGCCTGATTAATTGAGTTGTTGCATCCCCAAGGTGTACAAGAAGAAGGAGAGAATTGTTTTCTAGAATTTGTCCTCTGGCCTCCTCACTCATCCCTAAACATCAAGTGGAACAAAAATATATCATTTGACCATTCTATACATGCTTATAATTTGATTCTCTTCATTCCCATTTTTTCTCTTACTCTCTCTCCTCGCTGAGGTAAAAAGACATGAAAATGGGAGAATTTGTTGAATTATCTTTCACATGATTCTAGTTTTTTTGAACTTTTTATAACCCCCCTAATTGAATCTACTTTGTTTATTTAACAATTATGTAGTTTGTTTCTTCAACTAGACTCTAAAAGTCCTGATAGTAGTGGATAATTTTGTGAAGATCTATTTAATGAATTATCTCTGTCACTAACATAGATGTTCATCTTACCACATTATCTTTATAGTATTTCTTAAATTTTCAAGGGGCAGAATGAGTGCAGTAGCATATGAAGAAGATGTCTGAATTCCACAATGAGATAAAACATACAGAGCAAAAAGACTGAGGTTATACAAATACCAGTCTTTTTGCTGTGATCATGATCATTCTGTTCTAACCCAAACTCTCCACAATGAAAACCTTAAAAGGATGCCCACATCTTCCTGCTCCCTTGCCATACTACTAACAGCAACTTAGACTCTATATATCTATACGTCTGGAACAATTTGACTTGAAGTAACTGCACTGACGTGTTGATTTTGTTGTATTGATTTGTCTCAAATTGCCTAAGAATGACAGTAGCTTTGCCCTACAAAAAGATGATCATAGACACTTCTATCATAAAAGTCTAACAGACATGTTTTCAAATAACAGCTGCTTACCTGGAGGGAAGTGCTTGGCATGTATTATTCACTTGATCATCATAAAAAAGCTATGCAGTAATAATGTTAATATATTTATTTGACAGTTAAAGTTTCAGAGAGTCAATAGTGCTACAAATACTACTTAGATACGAGGGGGTAAGAACACGGCACCAGACTCAGCTAGGCTTGGCCAAAGGTCCAAGTCTACTGACACATTGGACATGGCTTTTCTCTTGTACAAAAGATCTGTGACTGCTGTGCTACCACCATTAATAAGCTGCCCAACAAGTGGAAAGTAAACAAAGAATGCTTTCTGAGAAACAAATGAAACAAACATAGCAGTACATATTATGATTTCAGGGATATTTTGAAAGTCAAAAATATATTTCAAATACGCATTATCAAAAACTATTAGTGAAGAAATTAAAGCCCCAAGTTATATCTTATATCACATTATAAGAATAGACAGTCTTTTCATTCATTCATTCTTTCTTTCTTTCATTCTTTGATTTAATTTTTTATTTATTTCTTTTGATGGTGTCTGATTGTGGCCTTGGTTGATTCATATTCTCTATGTAACCAAGAAGGATGTTAAGTTCAAAATTGTTCTGCCTCCCAAATACTGGCAAAGCAGGCATGAACCTCCATGATTGTGCCATTTACTTTTATTTTCTTCAAATGCAGTTATACTGTGGTGAGCATGGAGTGCTGAGCCAGCAAGATCAAGGTTCCAATTCAACTATGTTACTTCCTTGATAATTTGTGACCTTACTTAATTTTCAAACCTTAATTAATCTCATCTTCTGTAATATAAGCAATGTTTGGTAAATTTTAAATGATTTACCTAATAAAATACAACAATTGTGTATGAAGCTCAAAATATTGTTTGTAATATAGTAATATTTCTGTCATGGGGGAGTAGCCATTCACTTAATGTAATAGAATATACACCTAAGTTTGGACAGTATGTTTGTTAGAAAAGTTATGTTATCAGTGTTTAACTGAAGCATATAAACCTTTCTTTGGGAAGCAAATGACAGAACTATTCTCTCATCAGGGTTCTATCTGATTTATAAAGGAGAGACACGATAGTATGTTTGCTTGGCTCCTTTGGTAAAATGACTCATAACATGGGCTCATTTATCTTCACCAGGTGATGAGCCCAGTGTCCCTCACCTGCTTGCCATGGCATCACACCTGAGGGAGAGTGCTGAAATCTTCCAGTCAGATGAGATGCGGCCTGCTAATGACCCAAAAGAAAGAGCTCCCAGCCGTGTCCGAATGCTCAATGACATCCTTCAAGACCTGGAGAAGAACTTTCTGATAACGCAGGTGCCACCAGGTTTTTATAGGTAGGAAATAAACTTCCATGTGTATGTCTTTCCCTCAAAACCGTAACTTCACTTCCTGAATGTGTTAAGGATTATAATACTATTTCAAAGAGATTCCACTTTAAGATATTTAAGAAAAGCACACCGACGTGACAACAAACATGACATGAATCTAAAAGTGGGGAGAAGATAAGAGTGGCATGAGAGAGTAAGATTGGGGATGGATTTGATTCAAAAAGTATAAGCCTGTGTAAGTAATCCACTTTAAAAACAAAACAATAAGATAGTTATAGGTAGAATAGGAAAATAAATAAAGTAAGATTCACCAAAGAAAAGTTCAAATTAATAAATATGGAATGAAGGACACATGACAAAATATCTTTTATTGTTATCGGTATGATATCATTATTGGAAAATAAAGTGCAGTCTAAACTTCCATGGGGGTGAAATATGCTTTTCTGAGTATCAAGAGATAGGCCAAGCAGCTGTTTTACTAATAAGAACATGTCTAAAATGTCGAGCTTAATATTTCTTGCTATAATTTATGACAATATTAAATACATTTAATATTCTGGTGCCATGGATCTTGAAACAACCAAGAGAGCAGGGGCAATTTAGTTGGAGGGTAACAGGAATGCTCCTGAGATTATGTAGACAATGGTTTTTTAGAGACAGTAGTATGGCTCAGGCACAGTGCCTAAACCCAGTGGAATATCTTTGTTTAGGATGTAAACAAAGTAGAAAGTAAACAAAGGGAAGATAAATGTTAAACAATTTTGAATATTTTAAATATTTTGTATAATTGATTCATTCTTCTATTGAGGATAAAATATGTACTTTCTGTAAGGTAGGCAATAAACACTGTATAAAACAGGGTAAGTATTGGTGTAAGAATGTAAAAGAAGATTCAATGTTACTGGATTGTTTAGATAAAAATATACTCCAACCCAGTTTTTTTGTCAGTATCTTTCACCATAAAATTCTTCTATGCCCCTTCCCCGAAGGAAATCCAGAAGGCAACAGTCTGTGCTTATATAATGTAATGGGCATGATAATTTAATATATGCATTCATATGTATGTGTATCTTACATAGGCATGTTATATATTTTTGCATTTATAAATGATACTTATTAAGTGTTAAATTTATGACCCTTTATGAAAAGTTCAGTGCTGATTAACCTATTGCCTCACTTCCTCATGGCTTTCACTTGTCTACCATCTTGTTCATAATTAGAATTGCTAAATATGCCATGTACAGCCATACGCTAAAGGAAAGAATCAATAATTGGTACAAAGGTATAGCTATCTTAGTTACATATGAGAGTTTCTAAAATTGCTCTTCCCCAAAGACTATGACAGTCTTTATAACAGTAGACGTCTATCTCTATACATGTTTAAATATGGTTATGAATGTCTATCCTGTAACTGTTAAGTGAACATGAAATTTGAGTGGTATTTGGTAGTAAACTTAGTAACATGGAAAGAACCTTATTGATCCACATCTTAATTTCTGCATCTATTAAATGAGATAGCACATGGGAATCTCTTATAATAAAAGCATTCTTATACTTTTGGTATTTGATATGTTATCTTCGTGAGTCTAAAACTGAAATTCACATGTAGATTAAATTTTCATGTAGTTTCTTCTAATCCTCTAAATCTGGATCATGAAATATTGGAAAAAAGCTGTATAATATTTATATTTTTTTCATAATACATGAAGGCATTATGTATGCTCCCTGAAACTTTTTCTCAGCCCTTGAAACTTAGCAGGCACTTCAAGTAAACGTCGTTTCCCCTGATAGCATTCTAGCGCAGGGTTAGAAAGAAGACAGAAGATGATTTGGTAAAATATAATGATAGTACATGTAAATATATGCTTAAAAATCCAACCACATTATTGACAGAATTATTAAAAATGTCTTTATGAGAGTAGGTAAATCATGCTGGCGACCCATTTAATAAGACCTGTTTCTATATGAAGAATAACTTCCCTTCTTAACATTTTTGCAATGTGTATATGGCTTACCTACATGGCATGCTTTTTCTTACCCTTTCAGTAGTATTTATTGACTCAACTTACTTCATCCTGTATTTTGAGAAGAAAAGCAAGCATATGTCTGTTATTGACTAAAACCAATAAAGTGACTCTATACTCTTAATTGTTATCACAACAAACCTTATCTAAGTAATGTAACTCTAAAGATTTTCACATATTCTAGTTCACATAATAGAATTTAGAAATGAACAGCTAAGATTCAATATTTTAGCAGTTACCAAAGGTTGACTATAGTTGTTAATGAAATTCATGCGTAACATGCCTTTCCTTGGGATAAATGCTGGGCACATGGCAAAGTCTATTTATAGCTTTGTAAGAACTGTGTTCCAAAGTAGGTACATACTCCTGCATTTCCAACAGTGAATAGCAAGGCACTGCAGTCATCTCTCACCTCACCTACATTTGCTCTTGGCGGCCTGGGAATAAACTCTGCTGAAAGGTGCACATTGATGCTTAGTTTTTGAATTTGCAATTCAGTGATGCCATTTATTGCTCACTGTCCTTTGCTGTGATGAATTCTCACCTGTGTTTTCGGAAGTGAGATTTTGGTTCAGCTCTTTTGCTCAATTTCAAAACTGAGTTAGAGAAAAATGTAGAGCTCAATAAAAATCAATTTATAAATACAAAAAAAAAACTGAGTTATTTTACTTCTGGTTAGAGATTGCATGAGTCTCAGAGGAGACTTTGAACGTTAGATTTTAAAACATTGTTGTGACTGTGATAGACAATGGGACTTTTGAAAATGGACTAAATGCACTCTGCAGTATGGGATTGTTACAAGCTTAGGGGCAAGGGAGTAGAATGTGGTAGTTGGAATGACACTACTGGGAAGTGTGGCTTTGTTATAGCATGTATGGCCTTATTGGACAAAGTGTGGCACTGTATAGGTGGGCTTTGAGGATTCACATATCCTGAAGCTATGCCCAGTACCTCAAACCATTTCCTGTTGCCTGCAAGATCAGGATGTAGTACCTTCTCCAATCTCAGCTCCTTCTTCAGCACCATGTCTGCCTGCTTGCTGCTGTGTCCACAATAATGAAAATGACTAAACCCTTTAACTGGAAGTCATCCAATTAAATGTTTTTCCTTTATAAGAGTTGCTATGATCATAGATCTTTACAGCAAAAGAACTGTAACTTAGACAACTGGTATGCAAAATATAAAAGAATTTATAAAATTTAGCAGTGTTAAATCAAAATCAAAATCAAAAAGAAGGTCACATACTGCCACCATTTAATGGCACATGATACCTTTCTAAAACATAGGTGAGAGAGAATAGTGAGGAAATATTGGACAAAAACAAGACTGAAAACCAGCTGGGCAAATTACAGATTCTGCATCTCCATGTCTGATGTCAAACACTCCAGATCTCCATCTCCTTTCAGCTTCATTGTCTGCAACACATTTCTTTTTCTTGTGCTAGTTCTACTCATGGTTAGCAGCTCTCCTTGGCAGGTATCTCATGGCTCTGATATTTCCAACACCTTGGGATTTCCAAGGCCATCCAGGCTTCCCTTTCACAGCTTCACACAATGGCTGCTCTAGGCCTCCATTCAGGGACACCCCTGACATACGTCAAATCACAGTGGCTTTTCTTAGTCGCTGCTTGACTTTAAAGCCAGAAACATGTGGCCAAAGCTACCAAGTTCTACTGCTTGCAGGGGCTAGAATATGTCCACCTTAATTACAGTTTTATCAAATTTCTACTTTCTATGGTTTTCTTCACTGCCTAAGCTTGGCTGTCCTGGCATTTCTTCTATAGAGCCAGACTAACATCAAATTCAGAAATCTTCCTGCCTCTGTCTTCCCAGTGCTAGGCTTAAAGACATGTATCATGAATCCCAGTTTCAATCTTTTCTCTAATTGCTTTCCACAAGTTATAAACTTAGCTGGGTGGGATCTTGCTCTGAGTCACTATTCCCTTTGTTTCATCTCTTAATCTGTTTATCTCCTTGGACACAGGATTTAGCTACATTCCACTTCTCCATTCTCCTTTTCTCTTCAGACTGTACATTGTGTATTTTTTCCTTTCTCACCTTGATCCTTTTCATTATAAATCTTCATTAGAGTTAATACTAACAACCACATGACAGAATAAGTACAAAGTTGTTTTGAAATTTCCGCTGCCAATGAAATTTATCCAAAAACTCTTCACTTAACTTCAGGCAGACTTTTAGGATAAAGGCAAAAAGCAGTCACATTCTTCACCAAAATATCACAAGACTAGTCTCTAGAACAGATATTAACATTCTTCTTTTCTGAATTCTTTTGATCGAGGATCCTACAATTCAATTCACACTCAATACCATTGTCATTCACATTCCTAGTAGAATAGCCTATTAAGCAGCACTTAAAGTGTCAAAATGCTTTTCCTTATAATCCACAGGCTCAAGGTTCATATTCCTTCAAATGAAAGCACTATCAGATATATCTCAGCAATATCTCAGGTCCTGGTACCTTTATCTGCCTTAGTTAGGATTTCTATTGCTGTGAAGAGACAACATGACTAAGGCAGCTCTTGTTAGGAACGTATTTAATTGAAGTGGCTTACAGTTCCAGAGGTTTAGTCCATTATCACCATGGTATGGTGGCACACAAGCAGACATAGTAATGGAGAAGGATCAGAGAATAGAAATGAGCTACATCCCGCTGGTAACAGGAGTGACCTGAGATAATAAGTGTGACTTGAACAGACCTCAAACTAACACACTTCCTCCAACAATGCCATGCCTACACCAACAAAGCCATACCTCCCAAGGGTGCCATTCCTGCTGAGTTTATGGGGGCCATTTAGATTTAAACTACTACACCAGTCTTTTGTCAGATAATTCTTTGGGAAATATTTTCTCCTAGTGTGTTTTATCTTCTTTTCATAAAAATATTGTTTGGTGAGCATAAGTTTTAATATGAATAAAATGAGGCTAATAAATTTATCGACACAGTAGCACTCTGTGGCTTCCA